TCGGATCCGAGGGTGGGGACGGCGCTGAGGACCGCCCGGCCAGCAAGAAGAGGCTGCACGAGGTGGGCCTGCGGAAGCCCCGCATCGAGGGGAGGCCACATCGACCCCCAAGTGGAGAAAGAAGGCGCCGCCCCGCGCCGCGCTCACCTGTGCCGCCCGCGCCATCGCGAGCCCTGCCGCCGCCCAACAAATTTCACAAGATTGAAATACTGCCATGCATCTTCTTAGACCACAATGGAATAAAAATAAATAACACCACCAACAAAATTCCCCCCAAACCCACAAAGACATGGACACCAAACAGCATGATGCTGAATGACTACTGGGTCAACACAGAAATCAAAAGATTCCTGGAAACAAATGAAAATGAAGAAATATTCTACCAAAACCTCTGGGATGCCATGAAAACAATTCTAAGAGGGGAATTTATATCTCTACAACCACACATCAAGAAAATGAAAAGATCACACGTTAACAGCATAACAGAGCAACCCCTTCGGGTTCCCTCCTACTGTGGGAGCTTTTCTGTCCTCTCAATAAATCCTGCTTTCTAAAAAACAAAACAGAACAAAAAACCAAACAAACAAAAACAGCATAACAAATCACCCAAGGGAGCTGGAAAGACAAGACCACCAAACCCTAACTAGTGCAGAATTCAGATCACCAAAGTAAAAGCCCAAATACGGGACATAGAAGCAAAAATATCACAGAAAAAAAATCAACAAAACAAAAAGCTAGTTCTTTGAAAGAATAAACAAGATTGATGGACTCCTAGCCAGAATGACCAAGAAAAAGAGAGAAAAAGTCCAAATATACACAATCAGAAATACAAAAGATCAAATTACAACTGACCCTAAAGAAATACAAAAGATAATCAGAGATTACTATGCACACCTGTATGGAAACAAACTTGATAATCTAAATGAAATGAAGAACTTTCTGACATCAAACAACCTCCCAAGGTTGAAACAAGAAGACATTAAATAGACCAATAAAAACCCAGAAAATTGACTCAAGCATAAGAAAACTACCAACAAAAAAAAAGCCCTGGACCAGATGGCATTCAAGTGGAATTCTACAAAATGTACAAGGAGGAGCTGATATCAATCCTATTGAAAGTATTCCAGGCAACTGAGAAAGATGGAATTCTCCCCAAACCATTTTATGAAGCTAACATCACATTGATATCCTAACCGGGTTAAGATTCAACAAAAAAAGAGAACTAGGTCAATATCCCTAATTGCCATAGATGCAAAAACTCTCAACAAGATTCTAGCAAGTCAGATCCAACAACACATCTCAAAAATCATCTATGACCAAGTACGTTTCATCCCCAGGATACAGAGCTGGTTCTAGATTCACAAGACCATGAATGTAATTAAATACATCAACAGATGTAAAAACAAGAACCACATGATTATATCATTAGATGCAGAAAAAACTTTTGATAAAATCCAGGATCCCTTCTTGATAAAAACCCTAACACCTAGGCATAGAAGGAACATACCTCAAAATAGTAAGTGCCATCTACGATAAACCCACAGCTAGCATATTGCTAAATGGACAGAAGCTGGAAACATTTCCCCTGAAAACCAGAACAAGACAAGGTTGCCCACTCTCACCCCTCTTGTTCAACATTGCATTGGAATTCCTAGCCAGAGCAATTAGACAAGAGAAGGAAAGCAGGGGTATACAAATAGGAAAAGAGGAAGTTAAGTTATCCCTCTTTGCTGATAATATGATCCTATACCTCAAAAACCCAAGAGAATCTGTCAAAAATCTGCTTTCACTGATAAAGGACTTAGGCAAAGTCTCAGGGTACAAAATAAATGTACAAATGGCAGTTGCATTCTTATATGCCAACAACAAGCAGGCAGAAAACCAAATAAAAAAAGTATAATCTCATTCACAACAGCCACACACACACACAAAAAGAAATACCTTGGCATCTTCCTAACCAGAGAAGTGAAAGACCTCCACAATGAAAACTACAAAACACTGCTCAAACAAATCCAAGAAGATACAAACAAATGGAAAAAATATTCCATGCGCATGGATAGGAAGAATCGACATTGGTAAGATATCCATCCTACCAAAGGCAATCTATAGATTCAATGCAATACCCATTAAATTACCAACATCATTCTTCTCAGTCCTGGAAATGACAATGCAGAAATTCAAATGGAAACATAAATGACCACAAATAGCCAAAACAATCCTCAGCTAAAGAAACAAAGCAGTAGTATTACACTTCCAGACTTTAAACTTTACTATAAGGCTAGAATAATCAAAACAGCCTAGTATTGGTACAAGAATAGGCATAAGGACCAATGGAACAGGGTAAAGTTCTGGAAGCAAAACCTTCATTTCTCAGCCAACTCTTCTTCCACCAACAACCATTAGGGAGAGGAGAACCTATTCAGTAAATGGTGCTGGGAAAACTGGCTGACCACACACAGAAGATTGAAACAGGACCCCTACCTATCACCATATGCAAAAATCAACTCTAAATGGATCAAAGACCTAAACATAAAACTTCAAACTGTAAGAACCTTAGAAAATGCAGGCGACATCCTTATGGAAATTGGAACTGACAGTCAATTCCTGATCAAAACCCCAAGTGCCCATGCCTTAAGAGATAAGATAGACAAGTCGGACCCCATCAAACTGACAAGTTTCTGCAAAACAAAAGAAAACCTGAAGAGAGTGAGAAGACAGCCCACAGAATGGAAAAAAATATTTGCCAACTGTATATCTGACAAAGGCCTAACATTCAGGATCTACAAGGAACTCAAATGTGCTGAAAAGAAAAAAACAAACAGCCCCTTTAAAAAGTGGACAAAAGACATGAATAGACACTTCTCAAAAGAAGACATACAGGCAGCCAACAGACACATGAAAAAGTGCTCAGCCTCACTCATCATCAGAGAAATGCAAATGAAAACCACATTGAGATACCACCTAACCCCAGGAGGAATGGCCATCATTAATAAAACAAACAACAACAGATGCTGGCAAAGGATGCGGAGAAAAAGTAATGCTTCTACACTGCTGGTGGGAATGCAAACTAGTGCAACCTCTTTGGAAAACAGTGTGGTGATTTCTAAAAGAACTAGACATTGACTTTCCATATGACCCAGCAAACCTCCTTCTGGGAATATATCTGGAGGAACTCAAATCATTCTACAAAAAAGATATCTACGCACACATGTTTATTGTAGCACTATTCACAATAGCAAAAACATGGAACCAACCATGCTTTCCATCGAAACTGGACTGGATAAAAAAAAAAATGTGGTATATATACAAAATGGAATATTACACAACCATAAAGAAGGACAAACATAATGGACTTCACAGCAACTTGGATAGATTTAGAGTCTATTATATTCAGTGATCTATCACAGAAACAAAGAACAGAGTACCACATGTTCTCACTCATAAGTGAACCCTGAACATTTACTATAATACTATCAGAAAGGGATTGGCAGTAGCAGGATACTGCTGGGGTTGCGGGGGAACAATTTCCATAAGGGTACCTAATTTCAAACCAAAGTAGGGACCAAAGGGAGGCCCAAACTTTACCTGTACAGTGACCACTTATATACTTAATCTTGAATGGTACTGCATATATTTAAAATAATAAGAATAATAAAATATATGATTGTTTATGTAGAAAATCTAACAAAAAAATCCTGGAACTAATAAGCAATTATGGGAAGGCTGTAGGATACAAAGTTTATATATAAAAATCAATGCCTTTCCTGTATCACAGCAATGAATACATAAAATTTGAAATTAAAAACACATCAGCATTTATACTAGCACTCCCAAAAATGAAGTATTTAAGTATAAGTCCAAAAAAATATGTATAAGATCTATAAAGGAAACATATAAAACTCTGATGAAAGATATCAAAGAAGTAAATAGATATTCCATATTCTTGAAGAGAAGAACTCAATATTGTCAAGGTGTCAACCAAACTATAGATTTTAAAAAATCTCCATCAAAATTCTAGTAAGTTATTTTGTGGACATTGACAAATTGCTTGTAAAGTTATACAAGAGGTAACAGGCAACTCAATATGAAGGATAAAGTTGGAAGACTGACACTACCTGATTTCAAAACTTATTATAAAACTACGGTAATCAAGGTAGTGTGGAGGGAAGACTAGATATGTATATAAAGAAAAATAAAACTATACCCCTAAAAAAAAAAAAAAAAAAAAAGACAAACAGATCAATGAAACAGAATAGAGAGACCAGAAATAGACCCATAAAGCTATACTCAACTGATCTTTGACAAAGGTACAAAAAAAATATAATGCAGAAAATGTTATCTTCCAATAAATGGTGCTAAAACCAGATATCTACAAGCAAAAAAAAAAAATCTTGACACAAACTTTATACCCATTATAAGAACTAACTCAAAATGGATCACTGGCCTAAATATAAAACACAAAAGTATAAAATTTCTACATGATAATAGGAGAAAGCATTTACAGTATTGGGCAATGAGATTTTAGGTATAATACCAAAGGCATAATCCATGAAATAAATAACAGATAAGCAATATTTCATT